TTTAATGTACTTCCATAAGAAAGCAAGGCTTAGAAGCCTTAATCCTGAAAGCTTGTTTTTTTCTAAGCTGGACGCGTGCCTGTGTGCCACAGTCGCCTTGTTGTGTAGCAGTCAGGCGGACGTGCCTCAAAGTAGAAGAATTCGCGACCCCCCAAAATGGGGCCGTTTGGCGGCCCCATTTTTGGGGTCGGGGTTCCAAGCCTCCAACTCATGCTCAAACTATATATTTAATGAGGCCGGGCGCATGTCGCAGCCCTGTTTTCGGGGCCGCGAAACGGCCCCATTTTTGGGGTCGCAAATCGCAAATGTTCGGGGCCAACCAGCTGGATCTCGGGCGTGCGCCTGCCTGCCTTTGTTCCCGCAGTTTTGGGCATCATGCAGACGCAAGATTGAAAAGCCAGAAGTCTTGTCCAAAGCAGCTGCACGCTCACCTTAAATGCCACAACCAGCGGATTTGCAACTGGGGAGGCCCATTGTGGCGAAGCCAGAATTGCTTTCGTTTCGTGGGCCCAGAAACGGGGTCGTCCGCAGCATCATTTCTTGGGCTCATCCTGCTTCTATATCCACTGGAGATCAGTGTCAGTTTGCAATGTCATCGAGGAATCTCGAGGATCTTTTTAAGCCAATCGAGATCTTTGACGTTTATTAGGATGCATCGCTGCGACACGATCATCGAAGCTCCTGTCTAGGATTGCCAAGATCTATGGCTCTATGGAGTCAGCAATAGCCAATAGCTTGCAAGATCATCGAAGCTTGTTGAAGCCTTTTCTAACTCCAGCAAGTGGACTTGGAGCCAGCTCCGGCTTAGAATTCTCTGTAGTAAAGAAAGACTCGTTCAGGTCCGAGGCTTCAGGTGACCCCTTTAATACATCCGGGCCACAAACGTGTGGCTTTGAAGCCACATAAGCCACAAACGTGTGGTTTTGAAGCCACATCAAGGCCACTTAACGTGTGGTTCTCAAAGCCACATCAACGTGTGGTTTTGAGGCTACATCATCTGAGCGGTCCACAAGGTTCCGTTTTTTGCAAGGAGTCCCAACCGGGTCCCCCCGGGCCCATCCAAGTCCCACCTTCTGCGTCACCGAATCCCGTTTTTTTGCTACGTGTCCCATACTTTGCTAGCCAGATCGAATCCGGGTCCCACCGGATCCCACCGGGTCCCATCCGGGTCCCACTGGGTCCACCCGGGTCCCATTTTTCTAGGGCCGGGTCCCACACCCCGTTTAGGTTTTAAAAGTTTAAATGAACGGACGCGGAACCCATGCACGGTTTTTGTGCATGGAGCTGCCTTTAGCATTGTAGTCCAGGTCATGTCCCAAACGGTGTCAACACTTCTTCAGTGAAAGCATGCATGAATCAAAGCATGTTCTCACGAAGCTCGCACTGCTTCAGCAGTTGAGTTTCCTCATAAGATTCTGCAAAAAAATGCACGCAATCTACAAACGGAACACTCTGGAAGAAAGGATTGCTGGAGCGGGCGCAGTATCTGGAGTAGCCAGTCCAGCCTCTCCAGATGTTCACTTTTTTCACTTTTTACAAGCTTTTGCCACATGAAAATACATCGAACACCACGACCAATTTTGTTTGGTATCCTCCCTTTAAACCCTTAAGTCGCTCCCCCTTTGACCTTTCCAGCCCCCTTTAAGCTTCCGGAAGCCTCTCTTAGCTTCTTTTTCTTAAGCCTCCCACGCAGTCACACACACACACAACAAGAAGAAGAAGAAGAAAGAAGCCACGAAATCGTTTTATTGGAGCCGCTTCTCTGTCTTACCAGTTTGCCAGTAGTTGTAGATTGTAGTTTGTGTTTGCTCCACTTGTGGAACTGAGTGTAGAGCCGCAGTGGACCAGGCCTCAGTCAACGAAAAAAAAACAGATGGCGTTCCACGCAATCTAGATCTTGGACGGTATTCTTCTTGTCCGGGGTGCTTTAGAGCTTCTCGAATGCACCAGACCTGCCGAATCAGTTTTTATTGGGCGGAAGGGGAGTTCAGAGTGGAATTAAGAACGACGGACCTCCACAGTGCTTGGTTTTACCGCTACTTCTTCAGCAGTGTCTTTCTTGGTTTCTTCCAGTTCGCCCATAACCAAGAGTCCGCGTGCCTCACTGCAGTTTTTGGCTTGTAAGCTTGAAGTCAGCCCGTATAATTCGCGTTTCATTTTTTTTGGCATGAGCTGGCACGTCCTGCTGTTCGATGGTGGCTTATTTTTGTTCCATGTCGCTCGTCCAAGCACCGTTTCAAATGACAGATTTGAGTTCAAGAAATTTTTCTTTTAAAGCATCTGTGGTTTTTTTTTTCTTGTTGTGTAAAATAAAATTGTATGAGTGTGTTAGCATCAACAGTGTCAGCAATGTTTGGTGTGAAAGCAGTGGAAGTCGTGTTGAGAGCAAGTGCAGTAAGTAGCAGAGTAACAGTTTCAAGCATTCACAGAGTTCGAACACCGGTGTTTTCCAGAGTTCAAATGCCGGTTTGAACCACGAGTTCAAAACACCAGTGTTTTGAACGCAGTGTTCGAACTCTGAGGTTCGAACGTTCGAACACCGGTGTTCGAACATCTTTGTTCGACCCAGAGTTCGAAATCTAAGTTCAAACCAGTGTTCTAACCCAGGGTTCAAACACCGTGTTTGGTATGGTTTTGAGAGATTTCTTTTGTTCTCTTCCTTTTAACACCACAAAAGCGTTTTCGTGTGGCTTTCTCCTTCCTTTTGTTTAGTAGTGTTAGTTGTTTTTAGAAGTCGTATGAATTCCTAGTGTTCGTAGAACTAGTAGTATTACTAGTATTTGTAGCATTCACAGTATTATTAGCATTTGTGGTTTTAGGCAGTAGTAAGTGTGGTATCAGGAAGTGTAGTATTAGTGATATTAGTCGTAAGTAATAGTAGTCGCAGTATTAGTAGTACTAGCAGGGTTCGAACACCGGGTTTGAACCCTGGGTTCGAACATTGGTGTTTGAACCCTGGGTTCGAACCCTGGGTTCAAACACTGGTGAACCCTGGGTTCGAACACTGGTGATTGAACTCTGAGTTCAACCTCCGTTCCAAATGTTTGAACTCAGGGTTCAACTCGAGTTCCAATGTTATGTTCCGAGCCCCCCTCCGGACCCCCCGGCGTCGTCGTTGTCGTTGTTGTTGTTTTTGTTTTTCGGTTGTCGCTTTACTGTGCATACAGACCAAGAACGGCTTGTCACATGGTCCCGAACAGTCCATCCCTCCCGGACCCCCCCCAGGTGTTCGAACCCAGGGTTCGAACACCCTGCAAAAACCTATGCTCAGTTCTGAAAAAGCATTTCGTGCTGTTCTTGTGTCAGACCGCGCGCTTGATCCATCTTGGTTACGACTCTGGCAAGTCTTTTATCTTTTTCCCAGCCCCGCGAAAATGTCTGGAAGACAACAATCCTGCTTTTCATCTGAACTTCTGTTTTCTGCTGCAAAGATAAAGACATGCAAACATAGCAAACACAAAATGAACTGCAATATTGTTTGAGCGCATACTGGACGAAAACCAACTTTTCCATCCGTTTTCAAACCAACCGATAAAATACATTTCGGAGTCGAAAAAAAGCAGCTATAATGTCTTTGCTGCACCAGTTTTTTCTCCAATCCTTAGGCAAGTTGTCTTGGTTAAGAGCGACACTCCAGTCTTTTGTTTGCGCTTAAGAGCTTTAGGCAGTGCGTCCCATTTGTTTGTCAAGTCGCGCCTTTTGGGTCATCTTCGATAAACGCCCGATTCTGTTGCGACAGTGCAGGATCATTTTCCGGTTGATTGCAAAGCAATCCAGCAGCTGGGCCCACTCGTTCGTGGAACTGGCCGTTGGCCGCACGAGCTTTTGAGCGCTTCCTCTCGTCAGATCGGCCCGTTCCGAATGAGAGACTGCTCTCGTCGAACTGGCGGCTAGGCGGACGCCAGCCGGTAATGCTGTGGCAGAACTGCCCGGCTGGTCAGCTGATTGGGGCGAGTCAGAAGCGTGGACAGGGGCGGCCGCCCTTAGAGGCAGAATCTGCGAGCCTTGCGCTGAGATCCATGGTCTGGCTCCAGCGTCGAGACGCTTTTCTTCATGCCGGATTGGATCCGGTTTTCGGCCTTTTCCGGTTTTCTGCTGATGCTTTCTGGCCTCATCTTCACCAGTCGGGTTTGTTGTGTCGAAGAAGATTTTGATGTCTCGTGGGAGTCTCCTGCGTGTTTGCTTCTTCACACATCTACTTTGGCCAGGTCTGCAGCACCATCACCTCATTGGTTGCGCGATTGCTCTGGTGTGCTGTTCCTGTTTAAGACAAACCACATACAAGTACCTCCGTTCTTCCTTTTCTGAGCTGGGTTTCGGTTGGATTTCCGGCTCCAACTCCGTCCAGTCAGCTCTGTAGGACGCTTAAGGCGGTGCTATCTCACTTGCACTCCGAAGCCACCACTTTTCGCCAACAATCCCAAAAAGGTCAAGCCACACGGTGTTTGGAACAGCTATAAAGTAACTCGTCCCACCTTCTCTAAGCGGAAGCTCGGCTCGAATCCAATCCAAGTTTGGGATTTGTGGGGTTGACTCGAACTCCAACCTTGACGCCAGAGTTCGGGTTGGACGATGTGACAAGCTGTCAAGAAGTTGAAACGACCAGCAAGATCCGCCGCATAAGTGGTGTAAAACAGTGAACATTTTGTGAAGCTGGATTGTATTTTTTGTTTGTTTCGACATTGACGTTCTGTAACTTGGCAGGGCGGCCAGATGTTTTGTTTGTCCATGCTGAGCACCTTGCAAAATCTATGGAAGTTGGTGTGTGTTAGCTAGGTTCGGCATAGCATAGGTCGTAGCAGCTGAAAGATTTGTTTTGTTCTGAGCTGCAGTGTGTTGTGTGAGGCAGTTGGCTCTAGGGTATCCAGCGAAACAGCTTGTTTCCCTGGTCGGCGAGACTTGGTTGCAACGTGAAGCATGACATACACGAGCCGCATTATCATCTCTAATTTTTCAGGCTTTTGGATCGCAGCTACATTGCTACATGTTGTGATGAGGCAATGAAGCTGGCACGTGTTTTGGTGCCTGTTGCTGCATCTCTGGTGTTTCAGCTCGATGCAGTCGCTTTGGAGGCACAGGCGAACAGTGGCATTGTGTGCAGTTCCTGCAAAAGCACAGTCAGTCTTACCAAGTGTAGAAATTTTTAATGTTGTGTCGCTCATTTCTGGAGCCAGTGTCCTTGTGTTGTGCCGAAGGGAAAAAACAAGCAGAATCTTCCGGACCCGAATGAGGCACGTGGCTGTTTCGTTCAGGAGAAGTAGCAGTTTTGGAATTCCACGGCTACAGGTCGCATTGCCTTCAGTTGGAACCTAAGCTTTTCCATCTTGGTTTATTGTAATCCAGCAGCGCCGCTCAGGTGCCAAACGTTGTGGATGTGCAGCGCTGACGTGTGCAGTGTTGCATGTGCAGCTATGCAGGTGTATGCTTGTTCGTGGCAGATGTGAGGCTGGAAAGAATGGCTTCCCGGAGCTTCCGGCAGTTTCAACGATGTTGTCAGACGCGGCGCAAACATTGACTGGTGCCTACCTGAGACGAAGTTCTGAGACAGAAACTGCAGGTGATGTGCATGCGGATGTCGAATATGCTTACACTAAAGTCAATTTCTAGCCCTTGGTAGCAGAGTCCAGCTTGTCACATGCTCAGCACTGGAGGCATTTCCACGCAAGCACAACGCTTGCAGACGCAAATGCTGCAGGCTGTCGTTTGGTGCGCTGTTGATTAAAAGTGCTTACATGCGACATAGGAGTCAGCGGATCGTTCCTTTTCCGGAGGTGCAGCAAGAGAATGCTGCACGGATGCAGCGTCAAAAAGCAGTCTTCGACCGCAAGCTGAAGGTGCTCTGTATTGTCATCGTCGTCACAGTGGTTGTTTTGACTGTTGTCGTGGTTCATATGATGCATGGCCAGGAGCAAGAACAGAAGAACTTGGAGGTGGTCAAGGTCGACACAGCAAGGGGTATGGGACCAGAAGATAGGTGAATGGGATGCTTCCAAGTTCTTGCCAACTTGTGCACAGACCCGACACAGGAGAATGCTCTGATTGCCAAAAACATCATGGACACGAAAAAGGCACTGGTGCTTTCAATGACGGCAGAACACGTGGTGATGTCTTCGGAGTCAAGAATGTCCAGGCGAACGAAGATTTGCTGCACCATGCGCAGTCCATGCAGAAGGCTGTGCCGGCGTGAACAGCAGCTGAACAGTATGCACGGTTTCAACGGTTTCGTTATGTTTCGTTTGTTTCAGCAGGGAAACGCTTTGCGCCACAGCGAGCTCAAGATGCTGCAGGACACCCTGACGGAACGCATGCAACCCATGGCCCATGTGTCTCCTCTGCGAAGTCAGAACGGTGAATGCCTGGTTCTGTCGGGGTTGCCACAATCGTGCTTGTTGTTTTGGCACTATAAGCCGCACGACCGCACCAAAAAGTCTTCCTTGTAGTGCTTTGCAGGTACTCACGGTTTGTCGTGCAAGCCGGGGAAATGACTTGTATTCGTGAGGACCAGCTTGCAGCTGCGCAGAAGTTCCTAACAGAGTCGGTTGAGCAGACAGACGACACCAAGGCATATCATTTCATGTTTCACGTGCACTCGTTTTTGCTTCTTCAGGCCACTATCTTGTGCTCTCAGGCAAAAGAGCTGGATGTGCTCGCAGAGGATCGACCGGATTGCGATCTGTCTTTGACACTGGCAGCAGCTTCAGCTCTGCAGGAAGACGCTTCGCCAAAAAGCCTGTCCTTGCTGGCGCTTTCCTCGACCTCCAACACGGACGGGGTCGTTTCCACCACGTACGATAGACAAAAGACCATAAAAGACCGGGCTCATCAGACGTCTTCGTCGATGTTTGATGCGCAGTCCGCCAGAGTTGCTACAGTCAACTTTGGGGGTTACAGGAAATTGAATCCAATGCTCATTGCTCAGATTGAGACATGTATGTAGGCTGTTTTTCGCACCGCCCCGTGACATGGTTGTTGAGCCCCTTCCCTGTGTCATGCCTCAATGCAAGCGTCACAGGAGCCAGCAGAGAAAACCCCTGAGGCTAAGGCTTGTCAGTTCTCGGATGGGTTCAGGTTCTAGCCGCAGTGGGTACACCTTCGAAGGGTGTCGCATAAAGGTGTATTCGAAGTCAATTGCAGTAGATTCGTCGATTTGCTGCGAGCTATTGGTTGATGCAGCTTTCCTGCTGCAGCTCCAACGACGAAGCGGCAAGGAAAGTAAACAACATTGGTAGGTAGAAGTCAAAGCACGACATCAGGCCAGCAACAACAGCGAGCCCGAGAGTCTGATCACCATGCTGGCCAGTGGCATCAAGGTGGAGACTTCGGACAAAATGTAGCAAGCTGATGTTCCTGTTTCAGCAATGGCGGGGAAGAAATGCAATTGTTGCAGAATCCTAGAATCGTGTATGTCTTCAGAACAAAGGGCGTCAGGTTGAAGACTGGTGTAGTCGGAGCTGGAGGGCAGGAGTGATAATGAGACAAGCCTGCTTCGCATGGTAGAAGATTTGGATCCTTGAAGGCTAGCTTTGATTTTGCATTGATGGACCTCTGCGGAAGAACCATCCGAGTACCGGCGACCGGAAGACCCTGCAAAGCGACTACACTTCAAAGATGTAGACCCATGATCAATAAACCTGCTTTCTTTAAAGGCTTTGCCTAAAAATTAGGGTCCCCAAACTTATCCTTGCAAGTCATGGGGGGAAATGGGTGTACTACTCAGCTGTTTGCATTGCAATTCGTTTTGCAAAATCACTGACATGCATGGCATTCACTTTCTGACAATGGGTAAGGACTGGCGGGGATCAAATCGATTACACACATCAAACGCGCACGTGCGCGGATGCATTTCTTATGACTGTCACTGTGTGGCAGTGCATACTGCCGTTCTTGAGATCTTGATGATTGTTGTTTCAAGCACTTGGCTGGCAGGCATTGAAGAAGCAGGGGCAGGCAGGTGCAGCGGCTACGTGTAGATGCATGCACATGTGAGTGCAGGCTCCATCGTTTCAAGTTGCAAGTACCTGACATGAAATTCGGCTGTGCGTCGCGCACGGTATGTAGTTGGACCTGGCGCCTTGCGCGACCACCACATTTCCTCGGGCCTTGGGTTTTTGGCTTAAGTCGTAGCTTTTCCTTGGATTCTGCTACCCTTTCCGGCCATCGACCTCAAGAGTTCCCGTCCTCTTTTTGTCACTTTTGGGATTTTCTGGTGTTTCCTTGCTTGCGCATTTTGGACTATCTGGTTCTTGCATGTTCAGGATGTTTCGAGTGGTTCCGTGCAGTTAGGGGTGAGGGGGTTGGGTCTTTGGTACTGGCTCAATGTCGTCTGGGGTTACAGCAGGGCCCAGGCCTACGGATTTGGTGCAACGGAGCAACACAAGCTGGAAACAGGTGCATTTTCAATTTTATTCCACCCCCCCGCCCGAGAACGTTATTCTTCCTTAAAACTTAAGGCTTAAGGCTTAGATTCTCAGGCCGCAGACCATGCAGTCTGCGGTCCTACATTCCTGCGGTTGCTGCAGTGTTGGAGGTTTTGGGCTTCCCAACAGCTGAGTGGCTCCCAGGCCTCCTAAAATCTAGCAAAAGTTCGTGTGCATGTCGATGTATCTTGCAGTCCGCATCGTTCACATGTGAGACTAAATCAGCATAACTTCATTCGAATTCTGCTTGTTTTCTGTTGTCATGCCCCAGAGCAGTTTTCAAATTTACTGGTTCCGCCAGGCCCCAACGTCCCGTAAATAACAGTGCAAAGCCTGTCGGTCGGTGACCGCCAAAGGCATGCATACCATGTACTTCGTTTCGCGTTGTCGTGCGTGTGGCAGGATAGTGAAGCTAAGCTGAAGTCCATCTTCTTGGCCGACTTCCAAGCAGGAGTCAGCACCCTCAGCGGACTCAGAGCTTGGTGGTCCACACAAAGCATGACACCTTCGTGGCCTTGCAGGTATTTCCAGGTCTCAGCTTTCGCAGAAGAAGATTTCTGTAGGGACTAATTCAGAACATCGAGTCGTTCGCCTAGAGTTGCAAGACGTTGCTCCCCGCCCGGCCACAATCACAGCTACATGGCGGCGGCCATGCCGAGCAACACTGTCCATGGAGATGTTGACGGGAGTCGTGTTGCGAGAGGCTCTGCAGACCTGAACGTGTGAGATTTCGAAATTCCGACGTCTGCCTCTGCCGGTCGGTAGGTTGCCCGAATTCTTGGGCATGGAGGGATCTCCGCCCTTCAGTTCACAACACGCCAGTCTGCAGTCGAACTGGCGGCTCTACGACCAATGTTGGAGAGGTGATCTGCCAATGACTTCAGCTCCATCACAAGCATTCGTTCTTGAACTTCGCGGTCAGGCTTTATCCCTGCAAGATTGTTGTTGCAAACGACATTTTGGAGGACACGTTGTTTCTTTCCCATAACCTGTCTGTGCTACCAAGCAAGGGCCGAATCATGTTGGACTCAGTGCGCTCTCTTGACATGAGTGTCTGGAGGAGAGATCATGGATAGTGGAGCTCTGGGATCCTGCTTGCCACAGCTGGCATGTGACGCTTCCTGTTCCGCTGGCAGTGACTGCTACAGCTTGGTCAGCGAGTGACGACTGTGCCTTCTTGTTCGGATACACCAGCGACGACGATCAACCTGAGGAGAGCGCTCGCTCCATGACCTTCAGCGCAACCACCACTCCCGCGCTGTTGCCTTTTTCTCTGTTTTCAGGACCTTTGCATGGCAGCACGAGCTTTGCGTTTCAATGCTTACGGCACCGACAAGTTTCAGGAGGCTGGGCTTCCAGACATCTGTGGTCTCGCGTTCGCCTGCTATTGAAGTGTGCTCAGTGCCCGGGAAGCTCAGGTACTTCCTGCTCCTTCCGTCTGGCGCACGAGACCAGCCATGGCACTGGTTGATGGACAGGTCTATGACGCTCGACATGTTGGCCAAAGGAAAGCTCCGACCATAAACTGCTGTGTCCGCACGACAGCTGAACTTGTCATGTGTCTTCTACTGGTTAATACTGGTTATAAATGCTGACTCAGGTCTGCGGCGGTCTGCTGGCCTGTGGCAGTGCGACTGATGCTTTCGAAAGCTTTTCGCTGCGCGCCAGCATCTGGAAATCGCAGGCTCCCCTACCTAGTGGTCCCCGCAAGTTCGCCACTGCGGTTGTGGTACAGAACTTGTTGGTGCTGCTGTGCGGTGGCTTGGCCAAAACAATGAAGTAAGATCATCCACAACACCATCTGATCTTGTGAGAGCCGCGTCCCAGCCCTGCTGAGGGTGGCAAACACATGTATCAAGATGTGCCAAGGTCAAGACGAGGAGTCGGAAGTCCACGCGGTAGACTGCTGGGACACGAAGGTTTGATTTGTATTGCAAGCCTGAAAGTGAAATCCCGGCGAGTTCTGCTCAATGCTGACATCGGCGCATGTCAACACCAAGCCGTTTGGAGGCACAGCTCTGGCGACGGCTTCGTGCGATGGACCCTGGGAGAGTAGGCTGCAAATTGCACAAATCTGCTGTACTCTTCTTGTTTGGTGAATCCCGAGTATCACACCATCCTTGTAACTTGTTTGTGGTCGGGATTTAGCCCGAACGGGGTAAGCATGATCGAGTGAGTGCAGCACAGATGTTGATCTGATGTCTATGTTCAAGAGCCAGTGATTGCCCGTGGCTCACTACAGTAGCATCTAGAGTACTGGTCTCGACTTGCAACTCACTCGTCCTTCCGAGTGGGAGTGTGTCTTTGGAGTTCAAGAACATGCAGGTCTTCGATGTTTCAGGGCGTCATGCACATTCCCTTCCCGTTTGCCCTCATGCATTCGCAGCAGGCACATAGGAGTCTTTGACGGTCTTCTGCCAAGACGTTCACCTAGTCAGTTTTGTGGGGCAGCGTGCCGAACGAAGCGTGACACGCACAGTGGGCAGCTCAGTCTTGGCATTTTTGGAATCACGGACGCATGGGGTAGTCGGATTTGCTTCCGCAGAAACTGTATGAACAGAGCCCGATCGAAGAGGCGAGAAAACTTGTCCGTTGATTGATGACTTCATCCATCTGTCCCCACCCACCGACCTACTGAATCTACTGTGTCCACCCCCCACAGCCTGCTCTCCCGCACAAGTTCAATTCCGAGTTTTTCGGGTAGGCATATGACCCTTTTGGGTTCGGATGGCTCGTCTCAGGAGATCGTTGTTGGTTCGACCCACAACCCGGACAGCCAAAAGCTTGCCCCGGAGCCCTGAACTCAAAACCCCGAACACGGAACCCCAAGCCTGTATGGTCATTGTCAAACTTGCTTCACATACCTTCTCGTTTCACACAGGCACACGCACGCACATGCACACATGCCTCTGCAAGGTCAAAAAGGGGGGAAGAAGTCAGAAAGCCAAAGTAGCACACATGCAAGTTGATTAGCATTCTGTCTGAATTCAGGCTAGATGTTACGCACAAAAATACAGCGTGCTGTCACCCTTGCCTATCTTCTTTCTCGCCGTTTTGTGTTGAAATGAAATGTCTTCTCCTTCTTTCGCACCTGCAGTCTGGAGTCATCTCGTCGAGGTGCCGCTGTGGTTCTTGTGGGTGGCCGCATATTGGTCTGCGGAGGCGACCTCGGCAAGTGCAAACTTTTTTGGTGCATTTGGCTCATAGATTTGACTCCTTCAAGCGCGCGACATGCTGTGTACGTCTGCTGGAACAGCTGGCAGGCGTTTCGGATGGCTGTTACTTGGCATCGGTCACTTCATTGAACCTGGGGCAAGGAGCGGCATGTGCGATCTTGCGACATAGCAGTCGGTGCCGAAGTTGTGTCTCGGTGACCGCATCGAATCTAAACCCCTCAACGCCGATCTGTGGTTCCGAGTTGAGAACTGTGCGATCAAGCGGCCTATTGGGGTTTGCTTCGTCGTCCGTCCCCGACTCATGCTGCGCCTCGCATTTCTGCGCTATGGTTCCCAAGTGGCTTTCGTGGCCGGTTATCATTCCCTTCAAGCCTTCAGGATTTCAGTCTTAGCTCAGTCCTTTGCTTTGAGGTTTTGCAGGAACTTCTGTCAATCTTCGAAGGGGAAGTGGTTGGCCCCTCACCGCCCTGGAAAGGAAGTGAGATTTGATTTTGACATGTTTTGGGATACATCGGCGTTATGCACTTGAGGCTATTCAGGCTTCAGGCTTCCCTTTTCTAGATGTCTTGGTAGTTTGGGCTTCCACCCCCTGTGGCATCTTCTGGTCTTCTGAGTTTAGGGTGGGTCGTCTTTTGTCAGCTCCAGCTGGTCATGCTTTTTCTCAGAGCTTCGGCTTAGGATTTGCTGTGTCTATGGCAGCATCGCTCACTTCACGCATGATTGAAGTACTATTCATAGCCTTTGTCGGGGTCAAGGGCTTCCCACCTCGCAATATTCTGGCCGTGTTCGTCTTCTGGTTCACACACTTCTGCGTCTGCAATTGCTGCCCTGGCCATCGCCTTCGGTCAAGTATTTGTTGGCACGTTTCTTTCAACATTGCAAGCTTTGCTGGATGCCTGCTGCTTCCCATTTGCAAGGTTTGCCCGGACGTTTGTAGGCTTCAAGAGATTGCTAGTGAGTATGAGCCCTTCCAGAAGCAAGTCTTTCTTGGGCTATGGCATGCTATGCAGAAGCGGCTTGTCTTCGACGGGGACGACGATTGGCGTCCGGCATTGCTGCACCCGCCATTCTCAAGTTTTGAAAAGGTCAATAGATCGATATGGTTTTGGAGAGCGCTTGACTGCACCAACTTCTCCTCCCAACAGGATTCCAATTCTGGAAATTTTCGAAGGAAGAGCAGCCACAGAAAAAGCTCAAATGGAATGGGCTATCTGAGCAAAGGGTCCAACATATGCGCAAACCGCTAACAAACAGCAGCTTTTTGGTGTGAGTTGCGAAAAATCGCTAGATTGGAGGCTCAGAAGCATGAGCTGTGAAGCTTTAACCCTCATGCCATCATGTTCTTCTACAGGGTTTTTTCCGTTGGCAAAAAAGTTCTTCGAGGCCATTATCCGGAAGTCACATCCCTGAGGACTTTGTCAGTCTCATGCTTTGCTGTTTGCAGTGGTTGCAGTAGTTAAGAGACTTGTTTGGCAGTGTACATAGCAGCTAGCAGAGAGCAACGGTTGGATGCGACAAAGGTGCCCGTCGTAGAACACGGTGGGTCAGTCGACGTTTAGCCAGCAGCGGCGACAGGTGACCACTGCTACAAAGCCATACCAGGAGATGCTGAATGTCTTGTCATGTGATGGAACGACAAACGACTGGGCAAGCCTTGCCATCATCAAGGAGTTGAAAACCTCGCCAATGCTCCAAAACATGTCGTCTTTGCTTTCAGCATGCCTGCCTCCCTGCCTCCCTTGCCTGAAATCCACGTGTTATGGTCGCACAATGGCCTGTTCGCTGTAATCGTTGTCATGGTGGGTTCACAGGGCCAACTGCCTGGAGCTGAGGAGAGGCACACGTTTATGGTGTTGTCCATGTCGTAAAGATCAGGAAAGCCCCGAGCAGCAGAATGGGGTGAAATAGGCAGAGGAGAATAGATCTCATGAATTGGCCAAGCCCGTGCAAATGAAGCCAATGATGCTATGCTGTAAATGGAAGGACTGACGGAAGCCTGTGGCGGTGCACCTGTCTGGCAGACATTGCCCTCAATGCATGGGCCTCGTGCTGACTGTGCTGTCGCTGTGTCTGGCGGCTGCGTCTATGTTTGTGGCGGGGAGGCACCTTGGTGGATGAGAGATGCGGGGTGTTTGTTCGTTTGCTGCAGAAGGAAGCTGCTTTGCAGCTGCTTTTGAGGAAGGTGCGGGTCCTGCTTTGGCGTCCGTGGAGCGACTGGACTGCAAGCGGATGGTGGCGTGGGAATCGCTTCCGCCTCAGCTGGCGCAGCTCCCATTGAAAGGCTCGTGGTGCTTGCAGATTTCTTGGGCAGGCTTCCAGCCATGGCTGTAGTTCGAGCTGGCGCTGCTGCAGTTGTTACGGCTGGGCATTTGCTGGTGTTCGGCGGTTTCAGCGACAAGCCACTGCGCCACGATCTGCACGGAATATCCAGACATTGAGACGAAATATTGTGATATTGTTTCGAACGCTCTTTGCATGGGTGACGGTTTGTCAGGGCTTCAGCCGAAAGCTTGGACCTTCGTGAAGCTGCCTCCTGGAAGCCCTTGCCGGACATGCTCGGCGGACCACGTTCAGGCGCGGGATTGACTTAGAGTTCCATCTTGTTACATCCAGATTGGTCGCAATCTTCTTATCTTCCCGCAGCACCTCATGGAAAAATCCACAACAGGCTGTTTTTCCAGCGGAAGGCTGGTCGAACGCATGCTTCCTGCTGTGGGACTTCGACTTTTGTCAGACAGACGCAGTGCTAAAGCAAAACACGGGGAAGAAGGATTTCTGATCAGACAGCCAGATGAACAAATCTCAATACATCCGGGATACCTCGCAGCCCCGGCTGCAACAGCAGCTGATGGGGATTTCGGGAGCGAAGTCGGAGTTTGTCCTCCGCTGAAAAATTCCGCCTGTCGTGCGCATAAGGTTACTTTGATCGCAGCAAAGAATAAAAGTGTTGCATCAGGTGATCGTTTTTCCAGTTTGGCAAGTCCGCCTACCAGTCGGCTGTCCAGCATCTGTCGTGTTTCTGAAGGAACCAAATTAGTTCTTGGAGCCGGCGTCTCACGCCCTGGAGCTGAAGCAAAGCCTGGTTGTTCGATTCCATGTTCAGCCGTTCAGCCGCCGTCCAGGTTGTGTGGCATTTGCTTGCTCGCCATGATGCTTCGGGCAAGCGCGACTTGTTGAAAGCGCCATAGAGCGCCAAGTTTTCATGATGCCAAGTGACCGGTTCTAAGCCTGCCGAGGCAGCCATGCGACCGGGTCCTTTCCACTTCCTCGCCTCCAGGAAGACGGCCAAGTTTGGTGCTGAAGCGCTGCATACAGGATCCGCAGCGGTCCCAAAGCCAAAGATGGAGCTCGCAGGACTCCGACACGGGCATGCGATTGCGTATGATTTGCTCCCGCACAGGGATCGAACCGAATTCCAAGATCTTTCCTTGGTCTGCCTGTCAAAGCCGGATGCGATCAGCCTGTAGCTGCTCTGGGAGGGCGAGGAACGTGCGAAGTCGGCGGTGTTTGCGATCGCAAAAGCCACTGGTGCGATTTCTTTGTGCAAAGTCTACACAGATGGCAAGTGTGGCGTTGCAGTGACTGAATACTCCAGTCATTTCGAATCTTGTTCTTGCTTGAGGTTCGCAGGAACAAGGCTCTCCTCAATCAGCAGAAGGCACAAGCAATTGAAGCTTTTTCTCCAGCGTCAAGTTTGATCTAGACTTCGAACGGGGCAGTTTACATGGATGTTGCCTGCCGTACGGGTCACTGCTGAGCACGAACACGTACTGTTTGGAGCAGCACCTGCTTGATCATGTCTGGTTTTTCGAGCGCATTGACGACGACTGTCCGACGTCTTGCTTGCAGGTCTTGAAGGAGACCCTTGAGACCATGAAGACTTACCACAACCGCTTGGATGCAGCTGACAAACACCTGCAGGCCAACTCCCGACACATGTGTTTTGTAGGAGCCGGAATCGCGCCCCTCTGCCTTGCAGAGCTTGACCGTATGCGAGCCTCCGTGAATCATGCGGTTTGTGACGGCTTGAAGGACCTGGCTCTGCCACTGCCACAAGAATTAGACTAGTCGCTTGTCCGTAGTTTTCAGGCCACTCAGACGACGATGGATGGTCGACTTCACGACGGTGGCATGTTCATGTCCCTTGATTGCAGATACTGTTGCTGGTGTGCGCCCAGTACTGGGTCCAGATACCCAGCATTTTTATTCATCTTTCAGATTGCAAAGAATCAACTTGCCATGACATTTACTAATTTACTTGTATATTTGTAAGTACTCGTAGCTTCTGCATCAAGCCTTGTCTCCGGAAGCACGAAGCACATGCACTGTCACTGCAAGATTTTGCCTGGAAGAAGCCCTGGAGGAACCTAGCTTCGCACAGACGCCTGAAGTCCAAATCACAAGCAGTCTCTCTGTGTGATGTTATCGAAGACAATCAGCTTCTCAACCGTAAATCGTCAGCTGCGAACACCCAAACAGTCCCTCGATTCGCAGCTGCTCTTCTTGCTTGGCCCCAGGGCTGGGCACGGATGCCAGCCCAGAACCCCGGAGCCGTAGAAGAACCGCCCAGAAAACGGCAAGTCACAGAAACTGGGTTGCTGTGTGTTGCTCTGTATTTGACTCCAGCATCTTCTTGTCAATTTACGTTCGAAGTGCTGTTCTAAGGCAGACGCCGCCAGAAGATGTGTAACATTCTCAATTGCTTTGAAGCACTGTTGTCACGTATATCCATGATGATCCATGTTCCATGTTAAAGTTTAGGGCTGCGCTTGCAGGTTCAAGTTTACTTACGTTCGTCGGCTGTAAGCTTGTGGTTTGGGGTTCGTGAATGAGGCCGTTTCTTTGCTCGGCAGTTGGTTTGGCGCGGATTTAGGGTCGACTTGAATTCGGTTTTGAGTGTTTGAGGCATACAGGTCTTTCTTCGGAGTTGGGGTTTCAGAAGTTGATGGGTTTTGGGGCTTTGTATGGTTTTCGGATTTCAGCAGAGGTTGACAAAGAGTTATGGGCTCTGCTGTGAACCTTACGGTTCGGATGAACATATACTTTTGAGGTTTAGGGCTTCCCTGGAACGTAAGGTTGAGTTCTTGTTTACGTCGGGGGGCTTGGAAAACCTTGGACATGAAACCTTGCAATAAACAAGCAGGCGCTACATCAACTTGTCGGGCCTGGTAAATAAATCCCGAGTTCCCCAGTTTCAAACAATGACGACACAATGTCTCACAGCTGCTATTTCGACTTTAATAGCAAACTGTTAAACTGTTCCTTGCTATGTCTTTTGCTGACTTTGGCCGTGGCCGTCTTTTCATTGTATGCTGCTCTGTCTTTGTTTGACACTTGCGGTGGGGACGTTTTCGGTCGGCTCTTCAGCTCCTACTGCATATTGCTGTTGCGCAGTTCGCATATGAAAATTCGTTCTCGCGATCTCGCGATGCTTTGGCCCGCCACGGCTGCCCAGCTGCTTGCATAACAAAATTCCGCACCTGCGTTCCTGCATTTGCAATTCGCACTCTTGACACAGTGACACGTCCATTCCCATGCAGTTCTGAAGCCCTTTTCTGGGAGCCCAGGCAGAAGCTTTCGGAGTTGACCATGGCCCGCCCCGAGGACCTTCGCAGGGGTAGTCTCGGAGAGCCCTTATGCACTGTGAAAGCGCCTGGTGCAGGCTGCAGTCCATGCCTTGAGCAACTTGGAGCAGGCGAAGAAGTGAAGCCTGCCGTGAGGCCTGCTGAGGTCAAGTTGTGTTGGTGCATGTTTTTAGGAAATGTATCCGAGTGGTCATGCAATCTGCTGCGCAGGTTGAATATATCTAATAAAGTTTTAGCAATGCTGCAGTGGGCCGTAGTGGTTTCAGCGTCACACACATGTAAACAAGTCAGCCGGAATTGAGGGTCGGACCCGGGGCGACACTAATCCATGCTGCTCGCCTCGCACTTTCAAGCGTGGCCTGTCTTTGGTGTGGCCAGGCATTTTGTGCAGATGTGCCAGAACGCTTTGTGACAGCGAACGTGCAAGATCTCTGCGCCGAAACAGTTGTGAGCACTTCCACAGTCTTTCGTCAGCCATGCTGGTGCAAGCAATATTGCACTGTCCACTTCCCAGTTTCTTCGGTTCAAGCCGACCCACACGAGCCAGTCTTATAGACAGCGCACACGCAGATAGAGCTATCTGCCAAGGCACCCATGACTTGGAACATGCACTGATACTGGCAATGTAGCTCGTCACTCGCAGAATCAGACTTCTCAAGGATCCCTGTTTGCCAGTTGCGCAACTTGTGAGACTATGACCCGTGAGCGTTGCGATGGCAAAGCGATCCTCGCAACCATGGGGAGTTGTTCCTTGCTTACACGGATGAATTTTGTTTTCTGGTGGTGCAATTTAAGCACCGTGGACGTGTGCTCATTGGCTCCTTGGCAAGATGCTCTTAGGCGAAGTTCATGGTGGCCCTTGGAGGAATGCTCCTCGACGTGCCATCAAGTGCCATCTCCTGTCGCTCATGTTTGTTGCTTTTTCTTTCCCTTTGCCAGCTCTGGCAGCCCAAGGTTCTTCCTGGCGATCTTTGGAGATCTGCGGGCCCTCACGTCTTCAAGCGAGCGGATTGGCTTTGGTTTGAGCACTCTCAAATCTTTCCTCTTTTGCGGCTTTGTGGCGGAAGAAACAATCTGGGTAGCGTTAGTAATCGATACAGTCCCGGGTCCGATCCTCCACAGTGTGGCTCTGTGCTGTGTGTGTGTTGTGCTCGACGCGCTGCCAGAACTGTCGCCTCCGTCTCGGGCGCCGTCACAGCTGCCAGTGCGGCACTTGACAACTCCATGCGTCGGGCAGAAAGGCGGGAAATGGATGGAAATGGCAGAAGCGTCATCTCTGTTTCGTTCCATCCTTGGGAAACCCAAGGTGCATGTTGTGAGTCTGGAAGCAACCCCTGCAGTTACAATATATGGACGCCAGCACCGATTGCTGACATTCCACCAGCTGATGCTCAGCCAGCAGAAATCCTGCCAGCCGAAGCTCAGCTGTCCATGGAGGACCCGGATCCTGCTGCAAAATGTGTCTGACGGACCTCATGACAGCTGTGTTTGTTTTGGTTATATTCTGTATCGACAATCAAAGGGTGGAATCGGCCGGCAGCCTGTGTAGGGGAGAAGAAGCATGTCGACGAAGCTCAGCTCTTGTGCGCTGATGTATCGCTTCCTTGGATGCCAGGAGAGCAGATCTTCCGCACTCCCGCCGAACCTGGAGGGACACGCAGAAGAACCCGTGTGCCTGGACATGCAAGTTGGCTTGAACGGCAAGAGCAAACGCGCAGAGCGGCTGTGCAGGCCATCCTCCAAGTTCGGTTTCTACCTCCATGTCTTTGCCGATCCAGCTGCTGTGATTCACCAAGTGCGGCAAGTGTCTTGGCCCACAAACTTCATCTTCCAGTGTCGGTGCATCCAGTCCGCCTGCATACCTTTTCCTGCATCTTCAGGTCAAGCAGCACTTTCCGGACTCTCCGGTTTACGTGACTTCCTGAGCTTCCGATTTAATGGAGCTGTCACCGCGGAGCCTGCAGACGGAAGTGAAGACATGGTCTGAGAGCACCGCAACCGATGCTGCAGCCCCCCTGACACAATTATAGATCCCAGTATGCAAATTCTATTCCAAGGTCATGAGCGATGGAGGAATGGACTTCAGCAACATGTGCAAGCGAGAGAAGTGCATTTTCACGCCGCTTGGACCGAGCTGTCCCGTGTCGATTCAAACAATCAGATGTGCTCCAAGACTCGCGGCTCACATTCTGGTTCAATCGATCCGTGGCTTCCAGGCTTTGCCCGCCAGCCAATGACCGTGCTCGGCTCAGTCATGTCAGATGCAGCAGGTTAAAGCAGCTTACAGCTTCTCTCTTGCTTTTGAACGTTTTTTACTGTGAAGCACAAGCTTGTGCAGCTTTGCCAAACATTGATAATCTAACTCTATATCCATCTCTCTGTCTATGTATTTATCTATGTGGCTACCTATCTATCTATGTATCTATCTGTCTAGCCAGAAGCTAGTTCATCTATCTATCTATCTATCTATCCATCTACCTATCGATCTATCTATCTATCTCCCTGTCTACTGTATTGATTTCTCGTTGTTTTCCTGGCTATTGTTATTACTATGAGTACGATTACCATGAATTATTGTTTCTACCATATTATTCATCATTATCATTCTTGCTGTGATCATCACATGATAAGTATGATGATGATGATGGTGATTGTTATTGTATTCCAATGCTTGCAATGTCTACGAGTACGAATATGAATATGAATATTGGTGCTACTGTTACTAGCAAGGGTTCTTGCACCGTCCTTACTGTAGGTTGGCATCCGTGGCCATTTTTCAGACGCCGGAGCCCGAGTCGTCGTCCCACCCGTAGCAGATTTGAAGTGTTTTGCATGCATCTGTGTCATGACTCCGAGCATGACACCTCTTTGTTGTAGTCGCTGTGATCTGCAGTTCTGTAGGTCTTTATGATGCTGCCTTGAGTCTCAACACCGAATTCATCATCATGCTGGACCGAGTCCCATGCGGACATCTCTAGCGTGCGGCTAAAACAACAGTCTGAATTTGCCTCGTGTTGCAGGAGCCGGACAACACACTGCATGGCCCAGTCAAGCGGCTTCCACAAGACGATGTAGGTGGTGTACATGTCCCGAGCTTTGGCCAGCACTTGAGGGAGCCAAAGATGCATGAGCCTCAAGCGAGCTCCCCTTTGGTAGCCGAGAACCCTGATGGCCGCCAATGGAGGTTCTGCACACCGGTTCGGAAGGTCCCTACATATAGTACGGCACCGGGGTTATTTAGTTTTAGCATGTTTTTGTTTTGGGACAGAGCCCACTCTATGCACACCTGAACTGGTACTCAAGCGTCCAGCGTCCGTCCGTCTCAAGCTCGACCTGCAAGCCTTTGACACGGGAAGATACGGGCACAGTCCACAAACAGGACTACTACGGACCACTAGCGAACGTCACGCTTTCTTCTTTAACGCGGCGCCTCGCCTCCGCCTCCCCCTCCTTCCCAGTCCGTGAGGAAGCGCTCCTTCCGGCTCGCAGAGCACGTGGAGAAACTGGCACAGACTCGGGCCACTCCCACTCTGCAAGGAGTTTTCTCTTCGCATCGTCTGTAGGGTTGCCGATGGGCTGCTGAAATGGTTCGAATGTAGGCGGGAAGCTTCGTGGTTTCATTTCGCAAAGCCGCAGGTCGTGTCAGTTCCTGACACTCAGGCTCCGGGCTTTCAGTGGAGTGCCGAGAGCATGCAAGCTGGTCTTTGTGGCGGAGCTTACTTCCGCACCGAAGCTGTTCTAGACTCTCGGCTGATATCCAAGACTGGCAACGTATTCTCCGGCTGTGTTTCTGCTTGCTTCCTCTGGGGAGTCAAGCTAAGCTTCCTCGATACAATGATGTAACGCCTCCTGTCCCCAGATGCGATCTGCGGATGTACATGCATATACCCTTACTGTGGTACTGTCATGTTGCTTTTGCCAGTCCATTGCTGTCTCGTTGGTGTTGAGGATGCGTTCTCTGACGAAAACATGATGCGGCCACTGGCAGGCACACATTCAGTTCTGTCCCAGGCTGCACAATTTCTTTCATCGTCAGTTTGATTGCATAGCACGTTCGGCATCTTGTAGCCTCAGGGAATCGCAGATCGGGGTCAGTCTGCTCTGAATGTCTTCCACTAGGAAGCACGCGATGATGGACCGCACTGGTTCGTTGGTGGTGCAAGAAGTTAAGAGTCTTAGAGAGTTGAGTTGCCACCACTACTTAGGGTCTCGAGGTTGTGAGTATGTGGGTTACCTGTGTTTGTGCCGAGGATTGATTGGAACCTGCTTGGAGAGAGTGTCGACAAAGAGATATTCTCGTCGGATTTCGCCATGCAGCATACTCAGATGCGGCTGGGTCGTGTTCGCAAGCTTCGTATTTCGGCGGACTCAGCCATTCGCTTCGAGTCGAGGCAGTATGCACTAGCAGCTCGAGGATGGCGAGTTGGCATCTGGGAGGAGGTTGCGCAAATGGACAAAGACAAGGTGGCAGCTAAAGCAGCTGGCACTAGTGAGCAGCTAGTGCGCAGTGCGTATTCGGCTTGCTGCGTGCCATTCTCTACGGAACCATTGCAGGTAGCCAGGTGTGACAGCAGTTTGTTTTCGCACTGGCAGGGACTGTGTAAGTTTGGAGAGCAGGAGGTGCCGCTGACTGGATCGCGAGATGCTGCCTTTCGACACTACTGCCACTGGCTCATGCGCTTGATGATGAGGGCATTCACTGCTAGGGCCTAGGGAGGGGGAACGTGCAGCTTTCAGATAGCATTGGGGCTTAAGCTCTTTAGCGTAGGTGAGGCTTTCGGAGAGCTTTGCCGTGCCATCTTTGAAGGAGCGCTTGCGGTCTGCTTTCGAGTATGCGGTACAAGGGATGTTTCCACCAAAACCTTCGAGACCCTTCAAGAAGCCACGAGTGGCCGGCGAGAGCGTGCATCCTGCTCCGCGAGTGATCGCAGAGCGGCCCCTAATCCACGATTGGCTGAGAGAGCGAGCGATGAGAGAGCAGGGTTGAGAGGGCCAGGGCGATGCCGCGGGCGCTGACAGCCCAATGGTGTCGTCTTTGCCAGCAACCGCGATTCCAGCCACACCGCCACTAATGAATGCACTGTTGGGCACACCGAGTCCCTAGTTGGACGATCCAGCTCTTTGCTTCGAGCTGGTATAGCTCGACCGATGGTGCTTGACGCTAGCTGAAGATTGTCTTCGACAGTTTCATCGCCAAATGATTTAATTTTCTGGCCGAGTGGACAAGCGGCTCGAGTTGCATGATCCGTGCCGGCGTCATAGTGACAGACATGAAGGAACCCCTGTGCTTCGTGCAAACAGGCTTTGAGGCTTTCGTGGCCCAGTCGATGCCCACTGTTACATCAAAGTGGGCAAAAACTCGGTCGAGATTGGCTTTGGCTGCCCTGCTGGAGAAGTGAAGTCTTTTCCGAAGGCTGACAGAGTATTCTAGGTCTGTGCAGCAGGACGGAGCGACTCTCGTGGATATTGCCTTCATGTCTGTCAGCGGCGGCGCGGATCATGCAGCTCGAGTCGATTGTCCACTCGTGTCGTCAGCATTTCTTGAGGCGTCATGTTCGTGCCCTGCAGCATGAGTTGGACGATCAAGCTCTTTGCTTCGAGCTTGTAAAGCTCTATCGATGGTAGTTGACGCCTTGACGCGTGCTGAAGATTGTTTTCGACATTTTCATGGCCGAATGATTTGATTTAATGGTCGCAAGATGAAAGGCGAAAGCACAACTCGAATCACAACCTTTACATCTGTAAGAAGCCAGCTCCTCACAGCAGGCCATCTGCCGTGATTGATGTGCCATAGCAGTTTCCTGTAAGAACTTGTGCAGTTTCAGCTTGTATCTCCGACTGTACTGTCCTGCGTATCCCATATATTCGTGCGCTGTATAACTAATTACATTTCGTCTTCATTTTGCTTGAGCCTAGAGCTGCGAATCAAGAGCATCCTGCATAACAGCAGGTGACGGTAGCGCGTTGCAAGATTAGACAAGGGATGCGTGGCAGATCGCTGCTTCTGGCGTGCGGTGCATTTGCTGATGTTTGGAGAGAGAAGGTGTGCTGAAAGAGCTACAGTGCTTTTCCAAGGCTCCTGTTACCCTGGTGGCAAGCCCACTTACAATCTGAAGCTTCAGCCAGAAGCATCTCGGTGCTGAGATTCCATGTCGGCACCGGCCTATTTGCAGAGTCCTGGTCGGGTTTTTGTGTTTCACATCCGCTCCGAGGACGAAGACTTGTTTGCTCCAGCGCCCGCCGAGTACACCGTGCCGAATTCCAATTGCCAGCTTTGCTACAACTTAGCTTCCTGACAGCGCTGGAATTTCGTATGCAGTGTGCTGCCCGAATCGGAGCAGATCTTAACAGTTTCATGAGGCTGCAAGGCAGATCAGGGGTCGTGCTAGATGCGGCCAAGGACAGATACGTGGAGAATTGGGGAAGCTCTAAGTGTACCAACCGACTGCCATTTTCATATTCGCAGAAGCTGATGGACACGTGCTCCACGTTCGTGTCGTTTATCTCGAGGTGGAAGTTGTTTGCCAGTACTTTCCGCGAGGTACCATCCAGAGCTAAAGAGCAAGCCTTGCGAATTGCCGTTCCTCTGCAAGTGGGCGATCCCAGCTTTGCTCGGGGGCCAGGGAAATGGAGACGAACCCTGCATGCTGTTCCGCTCTTGTGCTCTTCTCCCTCTTTGACGCTTGCATCGGCATTAGTTTCCCTGCGAGGCCTCAGCAGGCTCTGCCAAACTCCGTGCACGATTCGAATCTCGCCTTGGGTTCACTCTGATCTGCGGGCCGAATCTGCAAAAATGCAGAGTTAGGTCCTGAAGCTGCAGGGTCTGCTGCTGCTTCAACAGTCTGTTCGATCACCAGGAAGTACGGCTTCTACTTGCACGTCTATGCTGATCCTGCTGCGGTCATTTTCCAGGCAACCATGGTCTGCTTACGGTTCTGCTTCCGTCCAATGTCCTAGATGAGGCAAGCTGTTGCAAGGGGTTGGCTTTCTGAGGTTCGCCAGCTTCGGAAGCACTTCCCTGCTTCACCCATTTATGCCGGCTCCTTGAATGCCGGCCGGGAAAGCTTGGTCCGAACTTCATTTGTTGCTGGTTGTGACAGTCGTTTTTTGGTTGGGTGTTTGTCCTCTGGAAGGCTTTTAGCCAGTTCGACTAGACAACGACCGTTCCATAGCATGCTGACACCTCAACAGCGCTCCTCCACATAGCGTAAGAGAACGTAGCAACTCAACTGACGCTTCTGAGTTCCTACCACCATCAGCCGTCACCTTTACTTCAAGATAATGCAAAGCCCCAAAACTGTAGTTTGCTCCGGCTTGGCCGCCGCCTGTAATGGAGCTTCTTCGCTGTTTGGGCGGTGGCGGTGGTGGAGGAACCGAGGCGACGGGAGAGAGCGGAGAAGGTTTTTCGGGTGGGGTAAAAACCCGCAGCACAAGGGGCCTGAAACGGGATCATGCGAGATCCTGAATTTCGGAAAGCTAAAGCGGCTCTGGAAGCTCTGACTCAGCTCGTTAGTGGACATAAAGGTCTTTCATCAACCGCGGGGTGCTGGGGGCTCTCTGGGCACTAAGCCAATGCCGCAATCTCTTCAGATGATTACTGCAATAAGAGCCAAACATTCATACATGATTAGTAACTAATGTTAGAGTCACAGACGACGCCAAGAACCGTGCTGTGCGACTGCAATGTTCGCACCACTGTTTTGAGTACTTCTACGCTCCTCTTATCTGTTGTCTGGTACTATCATCGGCACCAGGGTATCTAAACGCTGAACTCCACCTGCATGCCTTGAATTTCAGTGAGGAGGTGCACCCGCCCTGCACAGGTGCTTGCGGCTGCCGGTGGTGCAGCCTTAGGTGCTGGTGCCGTCGCTAGCGGCTTCTATCTGAAGGGCCTTGCGGCGGCCTTGGCTGAGCATTGTGGCACAAGCAGCACGAGAGGGAGACCGTGTTGTGCTGAAACATGATGTTGTCTTGCAAAACTCGGGCTCGTGTTCAACATGCAAGCAATATCAGGTTAATAGCTACAAGGATGCAACCCACTCTCTGCAGTGCCTCGACCCGAATTTAGAGAACTGCGCTTGCGAAAGAGAAGAGCGGAATCGTGTCGTCAGCAGAAGCAAGTTGCTGGCAGCGGACACAGCTGCAGGTTTCAAGTTGTGCAGGAGGCGATGCTTGCATGAAGTTGGCTATGTGACACGGGCATTTTGGCAACCCCGATTCGGATGTGCTTGAAGCGACAGGCTCTGCAGCAAAGCTTGGGCCTGGAGAAGATGCAGCTTCCTAGCTCCTTCCAGGACCGCGGTCCATGTTCAGCTTGAATTCACTAGACGACGTTACTCTGTCCTCGCAGTACGCAAACGAGTCTATATTTTCCAGACTCGAACTGAGCATTTTTGCGCTTGTTCTCCGGTGTCACGAAAACTGCATGCTCACAGCCAGATTGGACATCTCCGACAGCCTCACGTGTACGTGGGAACCTCGCATAACTCAGAACTCTGAACTCTCAACTTCGGCCATTGAAAGCAGTAGGTTGGAAATGTTATACCTGTGCGTCCATGCAGAAATGAATGCTAGGACACTCCCCAACAGACTTCCACAGATTTTGAGGTATTCTGCTCAGAAGGAGTTGGCTTGTGGTGATGCCCACCTGTCGCACAAAACCAGTCTCGCTGCTCCGAGTGATTCCTGTGGCAGCTAGATGGTGATAGCACCAGTTGAATACGAGCGACTGGACATTGGTATGTGGCACATGTCGCAGGCCCAGAGTGAGGTTTGGCCGACCAAGCAGCCTTTGCTTACCAGCGCTGCCTACCCACAGGCAGGCCGTTTTGTGGTTTCCATGTCAATTGGATTCCTATTGGGAGTACGTAGGGTTGAATCCATCTCGATGGTGTGACGCTGGGCCATGTTGAGGCAGTTTGGCTTGAACTACGGCAGATATCGGACCTAGAGACCCAGATTGCTCCAAATTCCCGGCGAGAGCATTTTGCCAAGTGAGGTTTGAGGCGCAAGGCTGCGAGGAGAATACTTGTCAGTGGGTGCACAGCGACAGCCAATCAATGGATGTCGTTGGCTTCTGAAGGTGAGGATGGCTTTTGACACGATCCTGAAGTACCAAACTGCACGGAAGGTGCAGCAGCTGGAATCATTAAGACTTGTCAGACCCTCAGCCCGACTCTCAACAGTTGTATAACACGTGAGGTGAAGGCAGACCCAAAGACTTTGGTCTGCGAGCTGCTGAAGACTTGGCTGCGTGAGCATGCGGCTGATACTGCTCCGGCCCCACAGGTGGGAAAAGAGGATCACAAATCAAAGATGGCTGGGCAACCTTAGCAGATTGCGAGGACAGCGGTCTTGTGCTTTTTCTCATTGCTCTTTCGGTGCAGGAAGTCGAGGCATACCGAAACTTCTGCTCCAAGCTGATGGTGCAGAAAGACAAGTGGAGGTGGAAACCGGGCGGGGTGTTGCCGGGGGCTTTGTGAAGTCGGTCTGAATTCATTGTAGGAGCACCTGAAAATAGCCAGGTCTGGATTTATTGAGCTTAGACTTGCCACGAACATACAACAGCTTGTCGGATGGCATCCATCTCACCACTGTTGTGCAGATGTCCTGTAAAAGGGGGCACCAAGCGACAAGTAGTTCCACCTGGCAACCGCGCTAGAAGCATCTCCGCTGAGATGCTGGGAATTGCTGGGAGGGATGGCTCCTGAGGCCCTGCTTGTTCGCTCGCTGCCTGATGCATTGCAGGGGCACACTGTTTACAGCACGACTCTCTAAAACATCATGGAGCTGCACAGGGTGGTTACACCATTGGAGCTCGTCGCGTGTTAGTTTCGCAGAGACGGTGAAGTTCAGATGCTTGGACACCTGTAGACACGCATTGCTCCATTAGCCGCTGATACAGGAATCCAGTTTCGAATTCCCGAAGCATCAATGCTGACTCTGTATAATCAAAGCTGACCCTTTACAATTGGTTTGCACGTAGCCACTGCTTCCCGCAGTGTTGCTTGCATGCACAGGGGAAGGAGCTGGATCCCCCAGGGCACGCAAGAGACTCAGAGTGAAGAAAGGGCTTGCTACGACTTGGCATTGACGTTGAGACATTGACGGGAGCTGTGCTCACTCAACTATTGCCGTCGCACTCGCCAGTGCGAATGTTGACTTAGCTACGTACTGCTGCTCATTCGCTTACTTATTGTCTGTCTCTCCCCTCGTTTTTCTTGGGGCACAGCTCAGGTTTGTCAAAATGTTGGCCGAAGTGGCGCACGAGCTCGACAAGTACGCTCGATAGAACTCGACTGTTGTATTGTCTGTCTGGAACGGCATGGCCAACTGTATGGTAGCACCAGCCGTGGGGTGGGAAAAAGTCCTACTGGCTCCATCCCGAGGCTGTTGAGAGTCCGTTTGCGCGATGCGAAGGATGCTCGACGGCTCTTCGAGCCATGTCCACATCTAGTTTGAGCTGTGGCTATCGCATGGGTGCGGAGTCACGAAAGTGACTTTACTCAGCAATCTTCAAGGTCAACACATGTTGTCAGTCATACAAGACAGTTCATGTCCATGGATTGGACGATTAGCGACTTCGGAAGCAAAGCGATGATTTAATTTTTCCTGGGATTTGCCCAGCATCCGGCTCAGGAGGATCTTGGCCGTTTGTCGTACAACCTGGCGCTGCAAACCACCAAGGTGCTCCTGCAGCCTGTCCTGAGTCGGAGCAGGGTTGTGAATGCAATGCAATGTAGTGTTCAAAAGGACGCTTTTGTATTTGCCTGCACTGGGATTTTCTGTATTCCATTTGGGGAAGCAAGCTGCAAGCCTTCAGTGAACCGCATCTTGCAGAATTCCGGCAGTTTGTATCCTCGCCGAGGCTATCCGGGACAAATTTCAGCATTCCAGAAGCAATCTATTCCTTGAACTCATTGGGCGATCTCAACCGCTACTCAAAGCCAGTGGCGCTTCTGAAGCACAAGGCTGACAAGGACTCAATTGCTCGGTTGGATTTTACTAGATGGACTGATTCGCATCCTGCGACTTGAAGCCTATCGTTGGTTGTCCAGGACGTTGCCAAGGAAATGCAGGAGGCCGTAAGCATCATTGCGTCTGCAAGAGTGACGCTGCGAAAGCTCTCCGCAAAAGCTAGAAGCAGCTCGTGTCTGTCGGTGAGGCTTGGCTGACAGAGGTTGGCGGCCTACTGAGACAGCTCCTGGCCCAGGCTCCAATCGGGTCAGTCAAGATTCTGCAACAATGCCTCTTCCACGTAGCATGAGATGTGAGGAGGCTAGAGGCTCAAGCTTCTCTATGGTGCGACAATCAAGTCCTTCGGTGTGGGAGGCACATGTTGCGAGCATCATGATGCTGCTGGAGCCAGCAGAGGCCACCGATGGGTCTGTCGTTTATACTGTGGTGGAATAATCTTGAAGTGTTTTCATTTGTCATTCTTAAGGAAGGGACGGGAATCCTAAAGAATTCAGAAGCTGTGTGTGTGTGTGTGTGTTAACCTCCCTAGCACATGGGAGCAGAGGGTCACTCCTTACTTTTTTTTTCAACCAGCATCACAACAAAACCTTTCGTAGCTTTTGGAAGCATGAGCGCAGGCGAGTGTGGCACTTGCATCCTACCACACTCAACGAAGCTGTGGATGCAAGTGCTGATCAGTCCTGTGTACCTGCATGGCAGCCCCCTGTGGTGCCGAGATTAGTTCCAGGACAGGCCCCCTGTAGGTGTCCAGAATAGAACAAATACGTTCAGCAGTCGTTTTGCAGAAATACAACAAATTTTGCAACATGCCTCAGTCTTCTCTTTGCTCGCCTCTTTTTTCCTTCTGCCGAATCCGTCAGTGTGAATCAGCGTGGGTCATGAGACTCCAGAGCAGTGGCTTTCCGTCATGGCGCCGTTGTGGCCCTTCGTGGGTGACCGGTGATGAACCGGATGTTCAGACCTCTGTTCAGATGATCAGTTCCCCCCTTCTAGTCTATGATTATTGCGAACGTTCTGCAGATAACGGCATGCGAGTCTGACATGAGTGCAGGTGCGGT